GGCCCTCCAGGGTCGCAGGCTGCCCACCCGGGGTCGCGGTGACGGCCCCACATCGGAGCCCAGCGCGCAGCAGGTGGCAGGCCCTGCGCCTGGACCTGCGCGCAGGCTGCGTGTCTCACAACTGGGCAGGGGTCCCGAGGACTTCCTGGAGGAAGCGACCTTTGGCCCGGTTCTAGCAGGGCCAGGAGCCTGTGCTGAGGCGCTGGGGAGCCAGACTGTCCGGAAAGGGCCCAGAGGGCGCAGGAGTGGGGAGTGGGCTGCAGGCGGGCAGGTGGGCGGGGGATGGCGCAGGGCTCTGGGTGTGCTGGAGGGAGGAGGCCCGCTGGAGCCACCCCGCCCCTGCTGTTGCGGGGAGCAGGTGGGGCACCATGTGGTGATCTTCAGGAGTAGGGAATACCTTCTCCCCCAACTTTGGCAATTGATTTCATGAAGTGCTGGTAGTGGGGGCTCCCTGCTTGGCCTCAGAGGCCCTAGGAGGGTGGTCAGGGAAGGATGGAGCCAGTAGGCTGGAACTCACATGCCCACACTCAGGAAGGGCAAACCCTGTCCCTGGAAGCTGAGGGAAATGGCCTCCAGTGGGCTGCTCCTGTGGCTGCCTGTCCACAGGGGTCTACCCTGTCAGAGCGTTAGGGATGGACAGTGCGGTCTGTTCCTCTGTCTCCCTCGCTCCTTCTTTACAGTCTCAAGGGGGCTGAGTGGATAGGAGGAAGCCAGGCTCACCCCATGAGGGCCTGTGGGCTGTTCTTGACCCCTGAACTGCCTTCTGGGGTCCCCTCAGTCTGTGATGGATGGACCAATATGCCCACCTCTGATGAGGGCCGTTGCTTCAAGCCACCTGGGCTCTGAGACCTGGGGCTGCTGCCTACCTGCCAGTGTCGTGGAGCACAGGACATGGGAGCTGTCCGGTGGCCAGTTCTGCTTCCAGCAGTGCTCTAACTCACCAGGACTGAGTGGCTTGAGGCTGTGTGCACACCCTCTGCCCGCACAGCCTCCACATGGCTGACCACCCGCTGGCTGTGGAAGAGGCTGTCCTGGCCCAGGACAGCCAGAACCTGCCCAGAGACCTTCCAGCTCCCATGCTCTCCCTGGGCAACTCCACCTCTGAGGCCCATGTTGTACCTGCAGCCACGTGTCCAGGCCACTCACCACCTACTACACTTGTATGTCCAGGCTTGACTTCCCCCAAGGCCCCAGGTGCAGGGCAGCCCTCCCTGCCCCTCTCAAAAGGCCTCTCTGTCCAGGCCATTTGTGGGGAATCCCTGAAGGGATCTGGGGTGGGCTGCTGGTAGAGGCCTCCTGGTCTCACTGTACCCCTGAGACATCTTGGGGCTGCTCCTGGCTTTTCGGAGGGCTGGACACATTGGGAAGCAGGGCAGGTCTGCCTCAGAGTGTGCAGGCCGAGGTAGCCAAGGCTTTGGAGTGAGTGGTGGTCAGTGGTGGCTCTATGATGTGGGGCGGCTGCACAGGAGCCCAGGAGTGCCAGAGTTCTTTCCAGAGTGGTTGGCATGTGGGCTGGCCACCAGGAGCCAAGTGGTCCCCAGGCAAAGGAGCCCAGGTCCTTGGCCTTCTAGGGGCCATCTGGTGGGAACCCAGGCAGGCTTCCACTGAGACCTAGGGCTCTTCTGGAAGCCCCAAAGCTGTTCCCCAACTGCCCTGAACCTGGGATCAAGTGGGTCCTCTCCCTGCTGAAACCCGGGTGCAGCTCACAGGGTCCAGGGTCCTGCCTTGGCTAAGGCCTGTCTTCCAGCTTGGCTGCCCCAGCCACAACCACCTGGGGTGCCATGGTGTACCCTCTGTGCCTGATGTGTGTGGCCTGGGTGCTGAGGGTGGGGAAGGAGCAGGACGGGTCGACCTGGGCCCGCGGTAGCCCCAGGCTGCTGCAGTGCTGTCTGTGGGCTGCTGGCCTGGAGGGGCCGAGCAGCCGGAGGCCCTCAGGCCTACTAGGAGTGGGCAGACCTGGTGTGCTCTGAGCCCTGGAGGGGAGGTTGGCTGCTGCCCTGGTCCCCTTCAGTCCGTCCTGTGGGACACTCTGCTCAGTGCTCCCTGCTCCCTTGCGGCCCATGTCCCTGACTTTGGGCTCCCTTTGCCTCTCCTGGGGCTGCCCTCAGCTGGCTTTGTCTGGGAGCTCCTGGGGTGGGCCATGGTCTCCCGGGATGCCCACTTCCCAGGGCTTGACGTCACAGGTTCAGGACCTGCCCCATGAGAGTTGCAGCCCTTTCCCCGATTATGGGTTGGGGGACCAGAGGGACAGTAAAAATAGACGTTACGCCTGGCTTGTTAGGCTTTTATGTTTAGTTTTTTTTTTTTTTTTAAACTCAAATTTCTTTGATAAAATATTTTCCCATGGAGGACAGCACTGGGAACGTCCTGTTGGCAGATGTTCGTAATGGACAGTACAAGGCCTCCAGGTAGCTGGCGTCAGAGGGCACACAGCCCCCTCTGGAGACCCTCTGTCCCCACATACTGTCCTGGAGCTGGGGCTGGACAGGTGGACCAACCTACTCCCTGAGGTCAGCTGCTCCCTGCCTAACACAGGCCTCTGCCTGGCTCCCAGCCCACGTGGGGATCTCTGTCCTCAAGGCGGATGGTGTGGTGGACCCTGTGTGGCAGACCCCCTGGCTCTGCCCTGGGCTCCCTGTGCAGAACTCACTGAGCCGGTGGACCAGCCTGGGTCTCGCTCTGGGAACGCTGCCTGAGAGCGGGTTTTCCCTCCGGAGCGGCACCAAAATAGCAGGAGGAAGGACAGAAAATGGAAAGCCAGTGGCCGAAGCTCTCGAGGGAGGCGCAGCCCGCAGCCTGGCTGCTTGGGGACGGAGGCGCAGAGCCAGGAGCAGAGCAGACTGTTGGGGCCGCAGGGAGCAGGGCCCGGCCTCCCTCCTGGAGCCAGGCTGGGGCCTGGCGGCCTTCCCGCCCACTGTGCTGTCCATGGAGGGCCCCTGCTGGGTCAGTCCTGAGTGCTGCTTTTCTCTGCTGTCCAGATGGATTATGAGCCAGCATAGCTCCATGCGGTGGCCTCGGAGGGCAGAGAAGGGGTCTGCAGCACAGTGGCCACCCAGGGTGGGCCCAGCTCCCTGCAGCTGCAGACCCCTCAATGCACCCTGAGGTGCTTCTCCAGTGTCCTTGTTACTGACCGAGCACAGGGCCTCCCTTGACCACTAGGACAGGGGTAGGGGTGGCCAGTGTGTGTGGGTGGGCGGTTGGGGGCATTCCCAGGTCCCATTCTGGTCAAGCTCTTGGCCGGCTGAGAAAGCTGCAGTTGAGGGGTTCCCGGAGCCGGTGCTGGGAGCACTCAGCCCTGGGACCCTGGCTTGCTGGGCCCTGGGAACCTCTGGGGACTGCAGACCCAGGGCGGCCGTCACAGGGGATGCCGGGGCCACCAGCTGCTGACATCTCTGCCAAGCAAGCCTTGTCCTCTTTCCCTCCAGCTCCACACGCCTGGGTTCAGGCTGAGGAGTCCCAGAGGCCTTCCTCCCCACCTGGCTCCTGGCTGGCCCTGTGGGGTCTGGAGCCACTGAGCCAGGAGCAGGTGTCCAGTCCAGACAGTGGTCTGTCACCAGCCGGGATCCTGCTCCCAGACAGGCCTCGCCCTGTGCGTGCCCAGCTGGCTGCTGTGGTGGGCTCCCCTGCCCGGGCAGCCGCCTGGTGCCCTCAACAGGAGAGAGTGCGGAAGGCTGTGCAGAGCCCCAGCTGGTCAGTGGGTGGCGGGCTGAGGCAGCCTAGGAGCCCTTCTGTGTGTCCTGCCCCACTTAGAGGCATGGGTGCAGTGCCATGCTGCCCTCCGGGCCTGACTGTGTGCCCCCTGGGCATCCTGTTGGCTGAGTTTGAGATCACTCTGCCCCTGGACCCCTTCCCGGGTGCCCGTCCTCTGTTCTGGGTACTGACTTCTCTGGTCTGGGCACTTGCTGGTCTTATGTGGGTATAGCACTGTCCCAGGCCCTTGTCCTGCTTGCCAGGGGGCCTGGGGGCTGTGAGGTTGGGGCCAGCAGCTCTGAGGGCAGCTTCAGGAGGCAGCTCCCACCTGCTGGGCCCCACCTGGTCCCTTGGCCTGGCCTCAGTGCTCTCCCCTGCCCAGGGCTCTGCCCTGCTGTGCAGCCTCTACCGGGCCCTGGGTCTGCAGGAGCACAGCACAGCGAGCTGCCCCCAGCCCAGCTTCCTCCTGGCCACCCGCTTCCTGTTTTCTCAGGAGAAGGCAGCAGCCAGGGTTCTGAAAAGCTCATTAAAATGCCTCCCCAGCGTCCGGACATCCTGGGGTCTTGACAGCACTTGCCGCCTGAGCACAGACAAAGAGAGGACGTGGTTCCTGTCACCCCTGGAGCTCACGCTGGGGGAAGGCCCCAGAGCACACTTCCTCACGCCTGCCTGCCCCCGAGGAGACTGTCCCCGACCCTGGAGCAGAGGTGAGGTCCTGTGGGGCAGGTGTGCAGGCAGCAAGGCCTCTGCTGTCCCTGGTCCCTGTTCTGCCACTGGTGGCCACCAGGGCACTGGAGTACACAGGGTGCAGAACCCCCTGGTCCTGGACGTCCTTCCCAGCCAGGTGGACTGGCCCCCATCCCATGGCTCAGCCCCTCCCACCTGGCAGTGCCTGCGAGGTGACCCCCTTTGGGAGGCCAAGCACCATGGGTCCAAAGCTTCACCCAAGGTGAGGCGCTGAGTTGAGGAGCACAGCCGCCCTGGGGGCCGCTGAGCCGGCCAGGCCCTGTCTCCCTTCCCCCCTCTGCTCTGCAGAGCCCCCCCCCCCCCAGAGCCACTTTGCCCAGGCCTGGCAGGGAGGGACAAAGGCCTGCCCTTGGCCTGGTCATACTTGGCTTGAGGGACTCAGACCCGGGGATGGTGCAGCCCCTGGAGGCCTCTGGGCAGGTGGCCTTCACCCAGCCTCCCACTGGGACCACAGGGAAGGAGAACAGGACGCTCGCCCAGGTGTGGCACCCTTGTCCAGGGAATCGGCGCCTGGGCCTTTCCAGGAGTGACCCAACGGGCCCGGTGGCCATTGTGGCTCTGGGTGACACTCCCCAGACTTCTGCAGTTTCCCCTGCTCCCCCACGGTCGCTCGGGGCCAGGGCCCACCTGAGCACACATGTGGGCCACAGAAGCTGCTTCCTGGGAAGCCACCGGCTGAGGGCTGCTCCCTGACCGTCTGGAGTGGAAGTGCCGCGGTGACTGAGGCCCTGCATAGCATCACGGAGGACCCACGGGTCCTCCCTGTCCTCCCAGGGTGCTCCTGGCAGCTCCCAGAGGACGGGCAGTGGCTGGAAGGTGTCTCTGTGAGGGAGCCCCAGCCCTGGCCAGAGCTGCTGAGCCCCCGCAGGTGAGCGCTCCACTGAGGGCCCCAGGCCGGTCCTCCACGCAGTGAACTCCAGGGGGTGGACTGAGCACCCTGGGGGAGGAGGCCTGAGGAGGAGCAGGTCTGTGGCCCTCGGCTGCAGGGGGGCGGCTCTGCCTTGCTGCTGGGCTGACCCTCACCCCAGTCCTGGCTCCTGGTCCTGTCCCCTGGGGCCCAGCTTTGCCGCCATCAGACTCCTGTGGCCCAAGTCCTGGGCGTCACCTGGTTCTGTAGACCAGGTGATTGTGGAGCCGTGTGAGCATTTATGTCATCACAAACAGGGATCCCTGCAGATCCAGTGAGCTGCACAGAGAGGTGCGCCCAGGGACCCGAGGACACACACAGTGAACCCAGGGGCAGGCCCGCCAGGCACAGCCGGCACTGTTGTCCCGCACCTTCATGCAGACCACGGAGCATCCTGCTGGTGTTTTAGCTAAGAGAAGGGACGAGGTTAAGTGGGGGACATTCGGAGGAGGCCTAGGGCTGAGCAGAAGAGTTCCCCGTGAATTTCTGGTGCATAGTGTCTGAAGGAGTTCTGCCCAGACCTGGGAGCAAGACCCATCCCTGTGGCCAGGGCAGCTCCCCCTTGGGCTTCCAGACACATTTCATGGTAAAAGGAGCTGGCGTTGTGGAGAAGTGGCCACTCCAGGTCTCATGCAAAGTGGAGGCCGAGGGGCGGGAACACCCTCAGACCAGGGAGCAGAGCCGGGCCCCTGGGGAAGGACGCGGAGCCTGCCGGCACCCACTGCCCAGGAGCGACGTGCCTGGCTGCGGGTCGCGTGCCCACACCTGTGCTCACAACCGTCTCTGGGCAGCTACCTTTGGATGGTGTGAGGCAGCTCAAAAACGTGGAGCAAACACTCCCTCAGAAGTAGCTGTGGGGCGGCGGGAGGACACCAGGCGCAGATGGAAGGAGAGCGGTCCTCAGAGCCACAGCCTCCTGGCACCAAAGGCGCGGCAGAAATGGAGAGGAAGAACAGAAGAGAAAAGGTTTCAAGTCACGCCTCTGGGCGGGAGCCACCCCCAGAGTCGGGGACTCCAGTACCACCAGAAGGTGACCAGCTGGTCATAAGGGCAAGGGCGGAGGCCTGTCTCCATAAGTCATTAGAGAAGTGCAGACCCAACCCCGGTGGGCCTGTGAGGATGACATCTGGAACAGTGCCCATGGCAAGGTGGCCAGGACATGCAGGGGGCGGCACAACTGCTATGGGGAGCTGCACATAGGCTTGAAGACCACATCATCTCGCAGCTCCAGACCCAAGAGCAGAGACTCAAGCAGACATGGGCACACAGCACACAGTAGGGCTATGTACAGCAGCGCAGCTGGGAACCAGCCCAAGTGACCACTGACTTCAGGTTCAAGGCACAAAAGCAGATCTGCTCATACTATAGAATACTACTCAGCCTGGAAAAGGAAGGTGATTCTGACACAGGCCACTCGGCTGACACCAGACAGCATGCAAGGGCAGCAAGGTGGCGCTCATCTCTGTGGCCCTGTTGCCACACACCCTACCAGCTACACACTGAAGACAGTAGAAAGCCATACAGAAAGCTCTGAAAAAGCAAAAGTTAAATTAGCCACACACTGAGCCCTGTGATGAAAGGGCAGCCCTGCCGCAACCTTCATGAGTCCACAGGCCCAGCTGTCCCCAGATGTGTTCTCGCGCTGTCTGTTGAGGCCCACGAAGGCTGCGTCTGCACTCGGCAGGCATGGACTCACTCTTGCTGCTGTCCTTGCCCAGCGGTACGACTTGACGTCCACGTCATGACACCCTGCTGGCACTTGCGGACATCTGAAGATGACATGTCCAGGGAGGAGGTGGTGCGAGTTGTATGCAGTCTCACTTTGGCTAAGGGAAAGGAGCGTCTCCAGAGGTTGGCCGGGACCCTGCTCCTCAGCCACCGAGAGGCAGGGCAAGCCAACACGACGCGGCACTGGAACAGGCAGAGCGGAGACGGGGACGGCAGGGAGGGGACAGAGCTGCGGTTCAGAGGACAGAGGTTTGGTTTGGGATGATGAGACAGTCAAGGAACTAGTCAGTGGTATGGCTCTGGGGCATCGCTGGTGTTCCCGGCACACTGACCTGGACACTTCACGGTGGCCACGTGCCATGCACGGTCACCGCAGAGGAGCGAGAGCGGGAGAGCCAGTGTCCGCTGCGGTGCGGAGCGCATGCCTGTCCGACAGAAAGCGGAAATAAACCCAGACCAGAGTCAGCAGAGAGACCAAAGAAAAGGGCAGTGGTGGCCCACAGGAGCCACAGGGGGTGAGAGAGGCCATGGCCGCCACTGTCCAGGGCCTGTGGCCATCCAGCAATGCTCCCCGGGACAGAGAGGAGGTCAGGATTTCTCAGGAGAAGCGACCCAGGAGGGGAGCCTGGCAGGGAGAGCCCACGGGCCAGGAGGTGCTTCTGTTGGAGAGGTCGACCCACAGGCCCGCTGCACACCCTCACCCTGCACCTGCCCCTGCAGCTCCACGGGGACGTGCGGCACACGGAGCCTGGGAAAGCAGCGGCAGGCAGGACGACAGCCAGCTTCAGGTATCGTCCACTCAGAGCCGTGCTGACACAGAGGAACAGCGAGGGGATTCATAGTCTTCAAACGGATAACAGAGTGCCTGCTGGGCGGCCGAGCTCGGCTCCCGGGGCTGAGCACCGCCGTGTCCAGGGGGCTGTGGGTCCCCTCTGCTTTCTTCCTGTGTGTATGGTTCTTTTTTTTAAAGTTGTTGGCAGACCTTTGTTTAATTCATTTATTTACACGCGGTGCTGAGAATCGAACCCAGGGCCTCACACACGCCAGGCAAGTGCTCTGCCCCTGAGCCCCGGCCCAGCCCCTCTGCGTTGGTGTCCTGTCATTTCCTTCATGGTTAATGTGGGGCTCCCATAAAACATATTAAGGTTCTAAGGCTATTTTACACTGATATCAATTAAACTTCAATTGCAAAATTAAAAAAGAAGTCTTTTTAAAAAGGTAGACACAGCTTGGCGCCATGGCACACGCCTGCATTCCCGCATCTCTGGAGGCTGAGACAGGAGGATCTCGAGTTCAAGGCCAGCCTCAGCAACTGAGCAAGGCCCTAAAGCGACTCAGTGAGACCCTGTGTCTAAATAAAAAATAAAAAAGGGCTGGGCTGGGGCTCAGTGGCGGAGAGCTTGCCTGGCACGTGGGAGGCCCTGGGTTCGACCTCAGCACCACACACAACTAAATAAGTAAAATAAAGGACTGTGTCCATCTACAACTAAAATAATAACATTTTTAAAGGGCTGCAGATGTGGCTCAGTGGTTGGGAACCAGACTCCGGGCTCAATTCCTGGTACCAAAAAGCAAACAAACCCACCCTACAGTGAAAGCTGAGAACCAAAGTCCTGAGCACCTCTTGCACAGCCCCAAGAGAGCAAAGGACAGGACCCTGAGACACGGTCGGCAGCGCCTGTGGGAAGGACCCACACCCACCCAGTCTCCCTGAAAGGTGTGGACTGACCCGTCTCTGGAGCTGAAGACAGGCCAGTGAGGGACAGTGACTGAGCAGGTGGATGCAGCGGCCAGTGGCCTGTGCTCCTGCTGCTGCCTGAAACACCCCCATGAGGACACCTCCTGGAGGGTGCTGAGTGGCCAGTGGTCCCAGGCATGAACAGCTGGGCCGTGGACGAGGCTGCCTGGCCCTGGACAAGCACAGCTATGTGATTCCTGGAGTTGCTGTCCCAGGAGACGAGGATCATCCTGGACAGCACTGAGCTCAGACGGTGCTCGCCTCCCCTCGAGCCTGTATCCACTGACCCCCACAGGGCAGCTGCCCTTGGGTAGTGAGAGGCCTTGGGCCCACCGGGCAGCAGTGACAGGGTCACTGTGACAGGCCACCAGCCAGAGCAGAGCTCCCACAGCCAGGGCTCTGCCCCACCAGGCCCTCAGGTCAGCTGTGAGGGCGGCTGGGAACCCAGGTGCCACCAGCCTCGTGCGGGGGAGACCCACACCCCCCAGTGGCTCAGAGCCACATTGTCAAGCAGGGAGTCCTGGGCGAGGGCTGTCCGGCCAGGAGGGCAGCAGACTGCTGGGGCTCAGGGCTGGTGAAGACCCGGCCTCTGCCTGGCCCCTCCCTCGCCAGTCCTACCCTCATGTGCTGGGAAGCTGCCCCTCCTCTGGACGCCTCTCCTGGACCTGAGACCATTTCCTGCGCACTGGTCTGGCCTGTGCAGCCTGTGCTGGACTCTCCCACTCTGTCCTCTCTGCACTTGGGTGGGCTTAAGAGCCCTTCAGCTGGACCTATGGCTGGGCTGGATGCACCCAGGTTACCCAGGCAGCCCTCGATCCCAACAGCACACAGTAAGCAGCAGCCTGGGGTGGCAGGGCCAGGCAGGCCCTGAGGACCTCCTCCCCCAGGCTCAGGGTTGCTGTCCAGGGCCCAGGCCCAGCACAGGGGCTAAGGAGTCCCCATGGCCTGCAGGACCCACAAGACCACAGGAAGTCCAGCAGGGCCCAGCTGGGTACCACGAGGAGCCCGGGCCCCTGACCTCACCACTCTGCCCCCAGAGCCTCCGTGTCCCTGAGGGGCCTGCTGGCCCTGCCCCGACCGCCTGCTCAGATGGCCGCAGTGCCCCACAGCCCAGGCGTCTGCTTCCCCACCGCGGGTTCCCACGTGGACGACAATATGTGGAAGCTCCTCCACGTTCCTCAGGATGTCCGCTGCCCTTCCGGTCGGCTCGGCCTTGGCACCCAGGGGGACTGGCCTTCCGGGCCTCGCCCAAGGGCTGTGCGTTCCTCTCTGGTGACTCACTGAACCCTTGTCACCACCCACAGCTCAGCACACCAGCTGGGTGCCCTGCAGGGGGACTAGCCCTGGCTCCATGGACCAGGCTGCTCTGCATGCCCTGCCGGGTGCCCAGGGCCATGGACAGCTCTGCCAGGTCAGGACCACGCGGCGCCCAGGTGCCAGGCTCGGACAGCTCTCGCGCTCTCTCTCTCTCTCTCTCTCTCTCTCACACACACACACACACACACACACACACTCTGTCACACACGTGTGCCATGGCAGCACACATCCTGCCTGTGGTCCATGGGGTCAAGAGGCTCCTGTGGTCTGGTCACAGGGACTCCACTCCTGTCCCTGCAGCCGTGGAGCCCCACCAGGTCCTGGGAGCGGCAGGAGAGCCCTCTGGGCCCACATGCCATCCCGCCCGGTGCACACAGGAGCCACACACACCTGTTCACACACGTGCCTGAAGGCACCGCCTCCCCAGGACCCTCGGTCGCACATGGATGGAGTGGGCTTCCTGAGGGGTCGGAGCATGCAGGCTCCTGCTCACCTGCAGCGGTGGCCCAGCTCCTTCGATGGGCTTTTCTGGAGCAGAAGCTGGAGGCGGCCATCCCCAGGGGTAGCTCCAGAGCGCCTCCATCCCTCCCCCCAGGCCTGCCTTGGACCATGTCCCTGGCACAGTGGCCACCGGATCACGGGTCCATCCTGGCAAGAGGGTGGCATGTGGACCCTGGTGATCCTGGTGGGGCTGGCTGGAGCTCAGTGCATCAGGAGAGGCCTCTGGTCAGAGCTGGAGGGGGACTGTCTGGCTAGCAAGTGGGCAGTGTGGGCTGGGTGAGATGCAGGTCCTGCCCAGGCCAGCTGGCCCAGGCACCTGGTGTGGCTGGGTGCAGACGCTGGCCAGGGCTAGCCTGGCTCCCAGCAGGTGCTCTGTCGCTATTAGAGGCCAGAGTTGGTGGCGTGGCCAGGTGCTGGGCGCGGGCTGCCCCATTCCCCATTCTTCACGGCACCTCCTCGGCTGTGCAGCCTCCAGGTGCTGCTGCCTGGGGCTCTCAGAGGGGGACCCAGACCGACCCTGCTGCTCCAGCCCGTCCCACCCAGCCCAGGGCCTCACCTCCCGCCCCAGGCCTGAGGCCCTCCCTGCCCCTGAGATTTCCTGGGGTCTCGCAGGCGTCACTTGCTCTGCCAGCCCTTCTGTGGGGCCTCAGCACAGGTGACCTGGGGCAGCGGCCTCCCGAGGGCCTTCCCGCCTCTCCTGCAGGGCAGGGCCTTCCTGACATTGTGGTGCTGGGCTCCGGCTTCCTCCTTCTCCCTCCGGAAGGTGAGCTCCTCGAGGCAGGCTCAGCTCCCCGCCGGCTCTGTCTGCAGCAGGCTGCTGTGGCCAGCCCTGCACAGTGTGCTCACTGCGGAGGCCAACTCTCCCCTGCCCAGGGGGACATCGTGTCCAGCTCTGCTCTTCCCTCCTGGGGTGCTGTGGTCAGCTCTCTGGCAGGCCAGGGGTCCTCAGTGGATGCTCTGAGTCTTGCCCTTCTCCCACCTGGACTGGACTTAGCTGTGCCTTGCACTGAATCCAGGACATCGGCCAGCACCAGCCCCTTATTGCAGGGGTGGGGGGGCAGCGGGGTCTTGCTGCAGGCAGGGCCAGCGTCTGCTGGGTGTGTCTGCCCAGGCAACAGCTGCAGCAGCAGCTTCTCCCAGCCCTCCCGAGGTGCCAGGGCCGCCCCTGCTCTGCCCTGCCCAAGGCTGGGGTACCAGAGGGCCATCCCCCTTTAAGCCATGGCAATCCCAGGACTGTTCCTCCTTCTGAGGGAGGAAGGACGGAAGGAGGGACCGTGCACAGACCTGACAGCTGCCAGAGCCACCCAGGCCCAGCTCTGGAGACAGGGCTGGGAGTGCCCGGTACGTGGCCCTGTGATGCAGCCGCAGGGCCTATGACTGGACCTCAGGCTCAGCTGCTCAGCCCCGGGAGGGCCTGGGGTGCTGCCCGCAGGGAGCAAGAGCCCCTCCTCCGGACCCCATTTTCCTTTCAAGTTAATGTGTTTTGAGGCTCTGATTTTCACCAGAGTCACACGCGGGCAGAGTTTAAAAGTGGCCCCCCAGGAAGACACAGGTGTCCTTGGCTGCCCAGGGGCCCGGCTGCTGCAGAGTGACTGTGAGAGCCTGGGTCTCCAGGTAACGCGCTCTGATCCCCGTGGGCCTGCTCTCCATGTCCCTCAGATCACAGAGGCAGAGTCTCCAGTGCCATCGACCTTTCATGACCTGTGCCAGGGTGGTCCACTGCAAGCTGGCCCTCTGTCGTCCTGGGCAGCCCTCGCCTGCTCAGGCTTCATTCCCTGTCCTGAGGCCGCCCACGGCACAGCCAGCCACTGTGTCCTCCACTGCCCAGGCTATGGTGAAGCAAGTCCACAGGAACCCAGCCCCGGCACTGGGGTGGGGTACCTGAGCTTGGACTTGAGCTAAGTCAACCTTCTTTCTTTGTGAGCACCCAGATTCTGGCACTTTGTCATGACTACAGCAAAAGGGCTATTTCCGCCTCAGCCCTGTCCTCAGTGGTGCTGGGACACCTTGCTCCTTGGGGCCTCCTGAGACTCTGTCCCCAGCCCTGCTGCCCCGTGGACCCAGCCTCTGCTCCTGAGCCTCTGCAATCCATAGCCTCTTATGTCCCTGCATCTGCAGAGTTGGGCAGGTGCAGCTGGACCCACTTCCTGTTCCAGTTTCAAACCTCTGCTGCTATGCTTCTTGTTGTCTCTTGATTGTGTCCTTCCTTTTAAAACAGAGAGGCCATAAATGCTGTGGCTCCCTCTTGTTTTAACTATGAGTCCTACTTTTGGGGGGTACTGGGGATTGAGCCCAGAGGCCCTCGACCATTAAGCCACACCCCCAGCCCTATTTGTGGTTTATTAGAGACGGGGTCTCACTGAGTTGTCAGCGCTCCGCTCTTGCTAAGGCTGGCTTTGAACTCGCGATCCTCCTGCTGCAGCAG